AATACTCAATGCAGAAACCTCAAGCAAATCATTACTAGCTGCAGAGAAAAATATACTAGAGGCATCAAGCAACGATTCTGATGCAGAAAAAACATTAAATACTTCATTCCAAAACATCAAGAAGCAAGAGTCTGAACATGATATTTGTCAAGATATGGCTGATAGAGGGAGGCTAACACAAGAAGAGGAGAGAGAGAAAGGAAGCATTTCGAAAGATGTTTATTGGTCATACCTGACTGCAGTCCGAGGAGGAGCCTTGGTTCCCATAATAGTCATAGCACATATATTTTTCCAGGTACTGCAAGTAGCAAGCAACTATTGGATGGCATGGACTTCTCCTCCATCTACAACTACCGAATCTACAGTCGGACTCAAGTTTCTCTTCTTGGTGTACATACTTCTCTCAGTTGGATGTTCATTGTGTGTGTTGATCCGAACAACTCTGCTCGTAAAAGCTGGCCTTTTGACATCTCAAAATTTTTTCCAAAAGATGCTCCACTCTACCCTTCGTGCTCCAATGTCTTTCTTTGACTCAACACCATCTGGGAGGATATTAAGCAGGGTCAGTACTTAGTTTAATCTCTCATTTATGCAGTTTAAATTATTATTCATGTAAATCCTGAATTGTAAATACTTGTGTAGTTTTGCGATTAAAACTAATTGTTTCTTATTACGAATTATCTCTAGGCCTCTATGGATCAAAGTGTGCTCGACTTAGATTTACCTTGGAGATTAGGTTGGTGTGCATTCTCAATTATACAGATTCTGGGGACTATTGCAGTCATGTCACAGGTTGCTTGGCCAGTTTTTGCAATATTAATTCCAGTGACAGCAATATGTATATGGTATCAAGTAAGAACACTCACTCACTCAAAAATTACTTGGAAAAATATTGAAGATTTGTTGTCAATATCAGAGACTGTCCACATAGAAATTCTTGAATTTTGAAAGAAAAAATTTGACTGTTTTTTTTCTTTTTCCTTAAACTGTAGTTCCCATGATTTGCTTGTCTGCCAGTATAGATGATATTATAAACATAAAAGGATATATCTATTGAAATATGCTTAACCCTAGTTAGATATTCAGTTATAATGAAAGATTTAAATCATTTTGGCAATTTGAAGACTGAACTTTTGACAATGACTAATGCAGCAATACTACATACCTACTGCTAGAGAATTGGCTCGTTTGTCAGAAATCCAAAAAGCTCCGATCCTTCATCATTTTGTAGAATCACTCTCTGGTGCTGTAACTATTCGAGCATTTGGGCAGAAAGACCGTTTCAGCAATACAAACCTCAGCCTCATAGATAATCACTCAAGGCCATGGTTCCATAATATTTCAGCACTGGAGTGGCTCTCATTCAGATTGAATTTGTTATCCAACTTTGTGTTTGCTTTCTCATTGATTGTGCTTGTGAACATGCCAGAAGGATTTCTCAATCCAAGTGAGCATATTCATGTGAAATACTCATTTACCTGAATTTTACTTGATAATACTTGTCATATAAGTCTGTTAATCTAAGTGAAATTTCACGTGTATGTTGTACAGGCATTGCAGGACTTGCTGTGACATATGGATTAACCCTCAACTCACAGCTAGCAACTATCATCTGGAATATATGCAACGTAGATAATAAAATTATCTCCGTTGAGAGAATTATGCAGTACTCAAGGATTCCTAGTGAAGCTCCTCTACTCATCGAAGGCTGCCGACCAACAACCAATTGGCCACAAGTTGGAACTATATGCTTCAAAAACATAGAGGTATAACTTAGAACAAAAACTCCTATATCACATGCATGTTTATGCATAATCAAGAGTCATACTTAGCGACAAGCATACACATTGTACAATTTGGAGAAAGTTTTGTCCTTATGAAACAATAGATTTCATGTAACAAAAAGTCAAATAGTATGCATAGTACATGATACTGTTGATTTCACTCAAAGTTGGTCATCCTTCATTTGTTCTTGATGCTGGGAGAGGTGTGAAGGGGGATCTTTTTTCTGTGTGCTGTCTATGAAAATAATTCACTTCATATTACTGGATAATAGTTAAAGTTATCTTCAAATAAATTGTAAACTTATATTCTGAAACATTGCAACTTTCATAAGGGAGAAATTGTTCCAAATTATGATATAATTTCCATGATGCAACAAATGAAATTTCCCAAAGCTTAATAGGCTTACATATGATTTGACTTTTTAGACTCAACAATTATAAACTATCACATGGATGAAAGCCAGTTAGGCAGTCCTATCTTTGCTGCATGAGTACAATCATTAATACAACTATATGAGAAAGACTTGCTCATAAGGACAATCATTGGATGCTCCATTTGCAGTTCAGACAGTTAGATGTTTAGCTCCACAGAGCTCGGTTCAAGTCTATGTATTAACATTTTTAGTTGATATATTCTTGATCTCTCTAGTAGAACTGATTGACTATTGCTATGTTCTTCTAACAGCCATAAATTCCTTTCCTAGCTAGGTACCATCTCTGAAGATTCAGAAAATTTGTCCTGCACAAACAAGGATATTTTGTCCAGATTTGAAGCTTTAGGTCATTTCTATATGATAATTGATACCACACTCTCATTGCATTTTGCTATATATAACACTTTTCATCTGTTTGCCAGAGAGTAATGCTGTTGCAAATACTCGGTGAATTTCTAGACCTTTCATAGTCATATTAGATTGGACAAATAGATAAAAGTTTGAATTTTTTCCTTTAAGAACAAACATTGCTTCCATTGCAAATTTTGGCCACAGAGATCTCATGGCCCAGGATATGTACATCTTGATCATGTTTATGTAAATGAATGTCATACTCAACTTTAACAAGTTCTCCTTTTTCCTCACTTCTACAGGTTAGATATGCTATATTTTGATACCATAAAGCTTCTTCTTGTTGTTGTTTGTACAGGTTAGATATGCTGAACATCTGCCATCAGTCTTGAAAAACATAACATGTATAGTTCCAGGAAGAAAAAAGGTTGGTGTTGTAGGACGAACTGGCAGTGGCAAATCAACTTTGATACAGGCTCTTTTCCGTATTGTTGAACCAAGAGAAGGAACCATTGAAATTGATGATGTAGACATCTGCAAGATAGGTCTCCATGACTTGCGCTCCAGACTAAGCATCATACCACAAGACCCAATTATGTTCGAGGGAACAGTGAGGGGAAATCTTGATCCATTGAAGGAATACTCAGATAGCAGGATATGGGAGGCAAGTTGTTTCTAAAAGCCAAACTTTTTATAATATAGCAATCCAAGAAGATAACTATGGCCATGATATTAAGTGAAACTCTGATGAATCAGATATATCAAGTAATAATATGATGTGGGACGTAGGAGCATTTGCAAAATAAAAATTGCTACAAGCAAACGTAAATTCTATTAGTTGACTATATATTGTAGACAAGTTGAGTATAAATCCTTCCCTGCATAATTTGAGTTTATCTAGATCTATTAGTTTTCAGTTCATGTTGAACAACAGAGCTTTAACTCGGATGCTTCAGTTTCTGAAGGAAAGAAGTTTCTTGTCCTCTATGCTCCATATTTAAATGTCTTAAAGAAACAAAAATCTAAATCCTATTTAATTGTGTGCCAATCAGTTTGACAGAAGCATTATGATCACTCAGGTTCTAGACAAGTGTCAGCTTGGTGATATGATACGAAAAAATAGCAAGAAGCTGGATTCAACAGGTATGACATGCCCAGGAGGTTTTGATATATGACAACATACTTACAGTCCATAACTACTTGAATGGTATGATCAGTTATAATTACTAGTTCAATAATTGATGGGAGGCTTCATACAGTTATTGAAAATGGAGAAAACTGGAGTGTTGGACAGAGGCAGCTACTCTGTCTAGGAAGAGCACTGTTGAAGCGAAGCAACATTCTTGTTCTGGACGAAGCAACAGCCTCAGTTGATACTGCCACAGATGGAATCATCCAAGAAACACTACGTGAGGAATTCAAGGACTGTACAATTCTCACCATAGCTCACAGGATTCACACAGTCATAGATAGCGATCTCATTCTGGTTCTTAGCGAAGGTAGTTGAATTATGATCAATTTAAGTAAATATAGTTTGCATAAATTTTGTGCATAATTTAGCTTGCAAAGTTTCTTGTTCTTGAGCAGGAAAGATACTTGAATATGACAAACCATCCATGTTATTGGAAAGAGAGGATTCAGCATTTTCTAAGCTTATAAAGGAGTATTCAATGAGATCACAGAGCTTTAACAATGCAACACAGTCCATGTAACACAACTTAGTCCTGGATTTTCCTATCTTTATAAATGGCTGGTGTAAAGGCAACCCTTGGGACTCCAACAGAATGATATGGGTATTTTGTGCTAACTCAATACCAGGTAGTTGATTTCTCTGGCAAAGACCAATTATCTCATGGCAAGAATCTTTCTTCACCTGTCATGAAAGTTCTGCCAACCTATGCCAACTGGTGTTCTACCACACTTAACATTAGCACTACTTGCAAATTTCAGTGATGTACTTCTAGCGGAATATTTTTGACTCAGAGAATTGCTCTACATTACTGTCTTTAAGTTCACACGATTAAGCTAAGATTGTATTAGATAAATTTCCTTCCACCAGTTGATTTTTGCCTATGCATTTATGATGTAGATTAAACGTTTGCTTTTACAATTTCAAGTTCTCATTGTTGGATTCCCATGTCTTATGCTGTTCAATTTTGAATTTTCTAGAAAAACAGATGGTATTATAACATTGTTTGGGTCAGATAATTGGGCATCACCACCACAATAATTGAAACCCAAACGATTCAAGATGAAAGGGGAACCAACTATCAGTTAGTCAAAGCCCCGATTGCTTGTTGATCAATTGACCTGGGAAAAATATTGCATCTACCCCGATGTTTAACTGATTTAACAATCACAGAGATATACTAACACATACTTTTAAGACCTACATGCAATTTTGCCTCCAATGAAAAGTTCTACATGCTCTTCCAAAATTCAACAGAAGTCGATTCTTGAACACTCCAGTCACGAGAAAAGTAAGCAAATCAAACTTCAAGAATAGTGAACTGAAATAGTGAAAAGTAAGACCTACATGCAATTTTGCCTCCAATGAAAAGTTCTACATGCTCTATCAAAATTCAACAGAAGTCGATTCTTGAACACTCCAGTCACGAGAAAAGTTCAACACGAATTCAGAAAAGGCACATCCAGAAATAGTGAACTGAAATTCCAACTGCAGGAATATATTGGACATTGCCCTAATCAATGCGACAAACGAGTAAAAGCAAAAGGGAAACGGAACGAAATCTTACCAGAAGCACGTAACACCGAACGAACCATGCTTCATCTCCTTCCAGAGCAAAGCAGTGCCGCGGCTGCACTGCATTCTACAGCACCCCCCATGTGCAAGGCCAAGCGATGGCACATAAATCGTGGCTCACGGAGAGGAATGTTAGGTCTGCTCACGGTTGTCACGACGGCATGAATCGGAAGCCGCTTTGAGGCGACAAGGCGAACGCACGGCGATCGGTCTCCTGTTCCCTTTGACCGTTAGGGACCACCACGAAAGGGCTCACACCTACCTCGTCCGTCCAAGGAAACAAGTTGGGACGTTTCCAGCTAGTCCTTCGAGTGCCTTTGCGACGCACCTGTCTGCGATCGGATGATTACATGAAATTTCCTCTACGTGTCAGAATTTAGTGGGAAGGACGTTTCTGTTTGTTTCGAGCGTTGCGCCAGATCCGATGGCATCTTCACTAGGAAAGACGCTCCTCGTCTCGACCGTTCCGTCGAGTTATCAGAAACGTAACGATGGATCCTCTCCATTACTTTTCTTAAAATGGGGAATTTGTTTCCGGGCCCCACGACGTGAATGTGCCAAATGGGCGGTGTGATGCAGGAATTTGACGTTCATATGGTAAAGGAACCGCTGGAGAAGATCCTCAAGTGCACCAACGATCGTCCGGTTCCTTAACTTTGCTAGGTTGTTTGCGTCCGGTTTTCGTCTGCCGGGAGTGATCCCGTATCGCCGAGGAGTGGCCATCCTGAGTTCTCGAAGTTTGGTCGGCCCATGATCGTAACTATTTCCCTTTCGACAAGTATTTCTTGATAAACTGCCGAAAGCTTGGTATGTACATCTCTGGTTTCTCTTTCTTTTTAGCCCGCTATTTCTTCAGTTTGGCTAATTTCCGGTTGTTCTTTCAGTTGTATAGGTAAAATTCATCAAGTCTTACAAAGTCTATTTATAAGGATTTACATGTCAAACCTGATTCCTCATCCCTTGAAGAATTTGCTTTTCCATAGTTCTGAAATAGTTGTAGCATCCCATACCTGTGACCGAATGGGGGCGTTGCATTACAATAACAGGCTCCCTCAATGTTCCTGCTGGCATGATGGCCTTTGCTTCACTGCTTGCCATTGCGCATTGATTAGTTGGAGGTGCGGCTACCCGCAAAGAGGGCGAAGAGCTTGAAATTGATGGAGCAGAGGCGGTACTCGGCCACCTTTTCTCCATCGGGGCAGCAACTTGTGGTTTTCCCCAGTCCGCCTTAGGCTGTATTTTTCTCAAAGACTGCAAATTCTTATTGTCATGCCTAGTTCTGGTGAGGAAAATGCTATAGATAACTATGCCATCTCGTAACAGATTAAAGTGTTTAGCTGCTTTACAGCTCTCATCCAATTGTCCATATGAAGTACAAAAATATCAACAGACAAAAGTGATTACGTTTTTTGTTATATTATGCATATTCTGGTAACTAATTTTCACTATGTCTCCTTTGACCACACAAGGTGTCATCTGTCAGGTTTCTTCACCAAAAATTAGAAAGTTTTATGCTTTATTGACAGGCTACATTGCACATAAATGTTCCAACCAATGTCTCAGTTGTAGGAAATTTTGCTTTACGAGTAACATTTTGATCCTTGTGTTATTTGTGGTCAATACTCTTTATCTACAGCCATGTTAACATGTGGTGCCTTGGATTGTTTTCTACACTTTCCTCCACATTATGTTCTTTCATAGACAGGTTTTGTCAATCAGACTGATAAGATGATGCTATTGCAGGTTCATTTACTTGTTTATTGGTGTTGGAGTTACTCTGTTTGTCGTATCATGCTTTGGCTGCATCGCAGCAGTCACAAGGAATGGATGTTGCCTGTCTTTTGTATCCCTGAAGATTTGCTGATTTCTACAATTTATCTTAGATTTCTTACCTGTAAATTCTAAGTGCTATAATTATTTACTTTCATTTCATTCAAGGCATATCTGACTCCTCATTCTTCATGTGGTTCTGTCGTTGCTTGAAGTATTTTTTTCGCCTTCTGGTTTCATTTGATCAAACATAAGTGAAGGCTTGAAAACAATGGAGGTTTTCTATATTTCTTTGTGTAGTTTATGAATTCTAATACTGAGCCAAAAAACATTATGTCCAGATCAATCTCATCATGACTAAGTTCAACTTATTCACACTTGAATCCACTATTCTTGGCATAATTTCTTTCCGTGCCATTCTAAGTGATAAGCTGATGCTGTAAATGCTTCTAACATAAACTATGCAAGTTCTAGAATTTATATTTGTGTCTAGTTGTCAGTTTGATGCTTTACTTAACCTAGATAGTATTCTTTCTTGGTGACCTTGTTGATTCTGGTCGAGTTAGTTAGGTGTTGCAGCTTTCATATCGTTTGATCACAGCTGGAAGGATGTGAGTCTTGTTCTGACGTCTCTAATTTCTGTGCTGGTTCTCCTTTCAAGCTAGTTTTGACATGTAGTTCATTTGCAGTATATTCCAGCTGATGTAACTGGAAATTTTGACATGATATATGATTTTTTTGGAGCATCACTGGAAGATAGCAAAATGTGTTGCACTTGGTGCTGTTGTTTTGGAGGTAATTGTGGAATGTTACTGAAGTTATGGTAGTAATACTTCTATTTTTTGCATTTGGAAGGTTTTGTTGATCTGTCCATCTACTTGAAACCGATAAGACATTTTAAAGTTCAATATTATTTAATACTTAACATTAGCTCCAACAATAAAAGTTTTAATGATGCACGGTATCAATGCTATTATCCACAGGCTCTGGTATTCTTGTTAGCTCTCATAACGAAAGCAGTGAACATGCCTGCTGAGTATGATAGTGATGATGAATATATTGCTCCGAGATATGGCATTCGGGAACCATTGATCATTGGGCAAGGAATTCCAGCAACTGGAGTACCTGTACACAGCACTCTTGATCAGCATCCAAGCAGTACTGTTGCATATATCCACCGGCTGAGGGAAAAGGTAATTTTTTGTCGGGAAATATTTCGTAATAGATATTTTCATGTTTTGCATCCTCTAGTTGTAATTCTTTCCTGGTGTTGTCTTGCTTCTCGACAGTACGGTCTTGATTCCTCTATGTTCACCTACAATTCATCAGGCCCAGGCAGATATCAGCAAGCCATGGTAGCTCCTGCTGAAGAAAGCGGTCGTTGTACCATGTTATGAAATTTCTGATGTTTTGAAGGTCTTTTTTCTTCTCTTTTTTTTTTTTGTTTTTCAGTTCTATAGTTTATTTAAGCAAAGACTGTTGTTGTCTATTTACCATCAGAATTATGCTGCATGAAGATTGTACATCTCTCAATTGTTTTCAGGGTGAACTAATGAAGTAGTTACTAAATGTCAAGCACTCTGGTTGACTGAATAAACCCCCCCATGGATGATCACTTGATTGTTTCAGGGCATTCCAAAAGCATGAAACTTATATTCTGTTTGTATTTTAATAAGACAAGATGAATTGACTTTCTGGAAAATTTTCAGCATTGCCAAAATCTAATCAGAACCAGTACTTGGTTAGCCCAGGAGTATATTTCTAAACATCATCTGGAGATTCAAAAAAGATGTTCTTCTATTCAGGGCATGCTAAGATGCTCATTGATGTTTCTGTGTGATGGCTGACAAAGGAAAGAGGAAGCAGAATGATATGTCATGGTAATGACAAAAAAGACACACTTTCAAGAATGTTGATACAGTTGTAGACCATCCTTCTGTACACAATTCTCATGACTTGCAGCTATGGTGATGGTTTCAGGAGCTGCAGAATAACACATCCCCTCTCATTACAATGATTTTTGATCCACATGACAAGAGTTCCAGCATCTTGTAAATTTGACCAAAAAAATCTTTGTGTCATGATCATCTTGTTTGTTCTACGATTGGTTGATTGGAGTTCTTCGGCTCCACCTTCACTTGCCTTTCCCCATCATGAATCCTGCAGAGCCCTTGTCCCAGCAAAACAGCAGAATACATCCCATGTGTGATCATAGGCGCTAGAATATTACGAGTCTACACATGCATCACAAATTGATCATGTAAGTCCACAGTTTATG